CCCCAGATTCCTCCTCCTCCTACCCCATCCCCTCACCCTGAGACTCCGCTCCTGACTCCTGCCCCTATTCCCTCATCCCAAGACTACTCCTCTTGACTCCCCACCATTCCTTCTCATGCGCCACCCCCGTGGGTTATGGGATTTTTCAGAGAAAATCAGCCTGATTCTAGAAATACCAGGATGTGAGCAACAATCTCAGGCCTGGTCTACACTAGGAAATTAAGTCAGTATAACTCCAGTTGCTCTGGGGTGTGAAAAATCCACATCCATGAGCGATACACTTAAACCGACCTACCCTGGTGAAGACAGCTCTAGGCAGACAGGATTATTTACACTGACAGGAGAAGCCCTCTCGTCAGGGTATGCAGTATCTTCTATGAAGTGTTGCAGCATTTTAAGTATACACAAGCCACCAGAGACTGAGGGGCAACTGGCATTTATCTTACACTTTTGCTGTGAGGATACATAACCATATTGTGATGTGATGATGGGCCTCTAAATAGATATTGTTATCTGTTACTGTCATGCAACATAGGGTATGTCTACAATGGAAACTTCAAAGCATTGCTGTGGGAACGCTCCCGCGGGAGCGCTTTGAAGTGCGAGTGTGGTCATGCGCGAGCTCTCTCCCAGCGCTCCTGGTAATCCACCTCCACGAGGGGATTAGCTCCGAGCCTGTCTACACTAGCGCTTTAAAGTGCTCAGACTTGCTGTGCTCAGAGGAGTGATTTTTCACACCCCTGAGCCAGCAAGTTAGAATGCCATAAAATGTAAGTGTAGACATACCCTAATAGGCTTCCAAGAGGTGGGATAATGCTTGAAAAATTGGAATAGTCCCAGAGATGCTGGGTTGGGTGGCAACTCAAAGTTCCATTTATGGTGTAACTAATCATTGAAATTTCAACACACACTGGCAGATAAGTTTCCTCTGTAACTATCTGTAGTAGCTCCATAATCTCCTGAGGCAGATCATAAATTAGAGATGGAGAAGACTGATTAAATAACTCACTCAATTTCCCTGCCACTGGAGGGAAAATTTGTGCATATGGCAAAACTACCTAGATTGGTGAGGGCCACCAATGCCTCTCCTCATCCCACAGTTGCTTTAAAGGGACTGTATGGGAAACACCCATTTAATTCTAAGGAAAGGTCAGCAAAGCAATGCCTCAAACCTTCCAAAGTGTGTCAACACATCCAGAGGAGATTCTTTCCTAACCCTGGCCTGGAGGTTATGTAGGCCTTGATTTTATAATCAGATCTAGGTGGGTGAACCCTCACATCCATGTGGAACCCCTTTGACTTCAGTCTTGGAGTATATGGTCTCAATTATTATGAATGCACATCCAAGTGGTAGGCCAGTGGAAGCATCTAAACTGTTTAAAAAGATGCAGAGTTCATTTTCTGATCACATCAATATTGCAGGCTCTCTTTTTCTGCCAGTTTTAAAGCATACCTGTTTCTGGAGGTATTCACAGAATTTCCTTAGCAGGTGAAACCAAGTCCCTGCCTAATGTAAAATAGAGGTGGTCAATAGCTAAATTTTGTTTTTTGTCTGTCTGATTCATTGTGATTATCTGGGTGATCTTTGCTTAATGGCTGAAACTTCAGAATTTTTTTCCAACTTCCTTTCAGATTTTTTAATTAGAAGTAACTTCTGAAGGGAAACTGGAAAGTAAAGATGGTAGATGGGAAGAAAATGATTTATAATAATAATTATTAACACTAAAACTGTGTTTAAAGACAACTTATGTCCTGTCATCCAAACATCGTTTTAGGGTCTGATTTTGCAATTCTTGTTTTTGTGAGTAGTACCATTTGAAGTCAATGGGATTAATCCTGAAAGGACCACTCGCATGATTAAGGGTATTATTGTCAGGAATATTGTCAAGGAAAATATTCGAAAATACTATACATACATATTTTCAAGCTGATAATACAAAAACCATGATGATAATTCCAACCCTAAAGTTGAATACACATTCATGAACACTGCACATACAACTTATGACATTGGGAGAGTAGTTTTGTAGTAAAATGAAATTTTTGTACTTGAATTCACTTTCAGTTTCCACTGAAGTTCAGTGACAAAACTCCTATTCACTGCAGTGGGTGTAGGATTGAATCCTAAATCTGTGTCTTTAATTTGGAGTCATAAAGGCACTAAATTAAAAAAAATAAAAAATTGGAATGGTTTCTCAATTGGATGTAATTATTTTTACAGTCTGCTGAAAAAGAGGCAGAAAGTTTTGATCTGTTTTAATTGAATTTTGTTGTTTGAAATCCCTTTACATCTTCCTAAATGAAGAGGAGCATCTGCTGGGAGGAGTTACCTTTTGTGGTTCTAATTCCAGACTACCCAGTTTTAGTATCATAGCAACAGACTTCAAATGAAACAGTGCTGGTTGGCATTCATGGGCCCTGATCCTGCAAACTCTTACACATGTTATTAGTTTCGTTGAGTTCATTTGGATTGTTCACGTTTGTAAAATTGTTGAGCACGAGTGTTTGTAAGATTGGGGTTCTAACGTCGATGAACCAGTTGTGTTTGGAGGAATTACAGCTGTGATAAATATTTAATGAGTATTTTTCCTCCTTCACCCTCAGCTCAACCCCAGTGTAAGTGTATTTCAGAGAAAATTTGTGGGTGAAGTGAAGAAGTGTGAAGAAATGGAAAGGATACTTGGTAAGCTTTGTTTTAATATTTTTCTTTCTCAGACTAATCTCTTAAGGTATGTCTTTACTTAAAGTTTACGTAATCAGAGTACTACTACATTGGAGATCTTATTTATCTGTGTTCTTTTATTATGCTGATCACAACAGAATGTGAGCACTTTGAAATCTGAGACTTTCTTTTATATATTCTGTAGAGTCTATGATGGTTAGAAGTTTGGGAATCAGAATGGTTCAGCGAATCGGTCCCTGTACTGAGAGTGAAAACAAATAGATGTTTCTTAGACTGAGTCTATACTACGGTTGCTATGACGACAGCTACTGTGCTGCAGCTGTGCCATTGTAGTATCATAGTAGATGCTTCCTACGTTGGCAGAAGGGTTTTTTCCATTGGTGTAGTTAATCCACCTCTCTGAGAGATCAACAGAAGAGTTCTTCTGTCGACCTAGCTGCATCTACACTGGGGGTTAGGTCAACCTGTGTATGTTGCGCAGGGTGTAAAATTTTTTACTGGCCTGAGTGACATAGCTAGGCCAATCGAATTTTTAGGTGTTGTCCAGGCCTTATTTTGGTATTGACACTTTGTGTTGCCTTTGGCAAGTCACTTAACCTCCCTGTGCCTCCAGTTCTCCAGCTGTAAAATGAGTTTAGTGATGTCTGTTTACCTTTGTAAAACATTTAAGTGCCCAGTAAATATTTTTAATAAAAAACTTAGGGTGGTAGAAGACTTGCTAAACCCTATTGCTGATAAATTACTGTAACTGTTTCAACATAAATTCTGTTTAAAATTCTGGTTAGGAAAATGGAACTTTCTCTCTAGAATGAATTCCTTAGGAATTAAGTATATTAGTGCACAAGGTGACCTTCAGCTATTGAACTTTCAAGCACTCCTGAAAAATAGCCTCCTGTGCCCATAATTACGTTCATGTGCTAGTAGATTAGTGGTAACTAGATTTTTTTAAATGGAGTTTCAACTTGCTTCCATTTGTTGTTGGAAAAATATCGTAAATTCTCTTTATGGAACTGTTTTTGCTAACCTCTTATGAGCTGTTTGTTTAGGTCATGTAAAACCCACATTCTTTTCCTACGCTTAGTAGCTGTCTCAACTCTTCCATTGCTCTGCATGTGTTGCATTTATTGTCAAGGCTACCCTTGCCACCTACTTTGAAGAATCTTCACTGCACACATGGATCAGTGAGCAGGACATCAGTTTTTGCAGAAGGCATGATTAGGGGAAGGGAGTCTCCTGAGGAGGTATCATGAAATGTTAAAAGTTTCTCAAGGTCCTTGTGACTGACATTTTTCTGCAAAGACTTAATGGCTGAAGATATTTAATTCCACAAATACTTAAAAGAAAAATATGCCTTGTATTTTAAATGACCTTCCCCCCCAAATAACTCCATCACCTTGTATCCCCTTTAAAGGTCCTCAGTGCTCACTAGCTCGTAAGACTATATCAGAATCAGAAAAAGATAAGATCTCTAGAGCCTGATTTTGCAATATCCTTAGCGCCCTCAGTGGTTGCTGACAGGGTACTCTGTAGCTTTCAGGGGGTGTTCAGGCAAGTTTGGACCCCTAAGTAAGTTATCTAGGCAATATGTTTTGAAAAATGTTGCATAATACAATTCTTTTTCCAATTCTGTTTCTGTTCTTACTCCAGGATTTCTAGTTCAAGAAATTAAGAAAGCTGATATTCCTCTTCCTGAAGGAGATACTGCTCCTGCTGCCCCTCATCTTAAACACATGTTAGAAATCCAGGTAACTCTTTTTAAAGAATTTCACAGAAATGAAAGGGTAGGATTGGATCTTGGAACTGAATTTTGCTTTCCTTCATTTTGGAACAAATCCTGAAAATTTGCTGTTCTCCTTTACTAAACCGCATGCTGCAGGTGCTCAGCGCCTTTTGGTATTTGACCTTTATGTTTTTAACCTAACCGTTCTGTGCTTAATGCTGCTATCAGGTTGGCATAACTTAGAAAAAAAATATTTCTTTACTTCGCGCTCAAGCTTTCCCCTCTGTAGCTTTTTCTCTTTCAGCCAGTGATATGCTAGAGACTGGAGTGCAGATGTGGTATTGATGTGGGCTTTTCTGTGGCAGAGCTAAAGTTAACTCAGAGCTTGTTTGCATCTCTTGTTTTGACATACTGAGTATGCTGGTTTACCTGACTTGTCAGGATTCCCAAACAAATTGTTAACTACTGTGACTGTAATCTTTTAGTCTGGTAGGTCCCTTTGGGAATGTACCCAGTATTGCCGTCCTTTAGCATATGGAGGTCAGTGGCAGTTGTGAATGTGAAAGCTGAGCAGGCACTGAATGCACAAAAAGCAGGCAGCTGATTTGTTTAGATGCTGTTAAATTGATTTCTATTGACAGTATCTCGGTAGAAACAATTGTTTGTAAAATGCAGAGCTGAGTTGAATGTCAGGGGTGGCCAAACTTACTGGCCTTTCAAGCCACATACGAAAATCTTCAGAAGTTTAAGAGTGGGGCAAGCCTGCTGGGGCTCGAGGCGTCAGCCCTACAGGAGGTGCCTGCTGGGGCTGAAGCCCCAAGCCCCCACAGGCGCGCCCCACGGGGCTGAAGCCCTGCCATCCCACTGCGGGGCAGAAGCCCCAAGCTCCTCCCTCCCCAAGTCTGGTAGGCAGAGAATGCGGGGAGGGCAAGGGGCTCTGTGAACCGCACTGTAAAAGAGCTGCATGCAGCTTGTGAGCTGCAGTTTGACCACCCCTGGTATGTTTTATAATCTCTCATTCAAAATTCAGTCATTCATACTGTAAAACCTTTTAGGACCTAATTCTGATTAAGAGCTGTCCAGCTCTGGTACAAGCTAAGGATGCACAGAGGCAGCCCTAATTTATGGTACTGATGCCAGTGGTGTATCAAGCCTACACAATGCAAAGTGGAGTAGGCAGACTGAAGGATCCAAACCTTAGTGCTTAATAATGAAAACATTGGGAATCTCTTGCATCAGTGAGGCAAACTAACTTATAAAGTTTTAAAAATTTCTTATTGTGTGAATATAGAGGTTAGATCTTTTTAGTGAAAAAAGCTAGTAAGATATGGGATTGTCTTATCTTTCCTTGCAAGCTAAGTAGGAATTTAACTAAGGACTCTGCAAGCGTCTAAACATGCAGAGTTTGCATTGAGAAATCTGGGAATTGAAAGCATTCAGTACTTTGTATAGATAAAACAAAACAAAAGAGATCCTGGGCTAGAAAAAGATAGCTGGCCAGATTTTCTGTTGGTGTAACTTCCGTCAGGGCTGGATTTAGGGGCAGGAGGCCGCCTTGGGTGTTGGGCTTGGGGTACTGTTTTTGTTGTTAGCGTCTTATATGACCGGGATAAATCATGCATACAAATCATGAGACAAAGTAGTGAAATGGTCTAAAAATGCAATAAAAAATAAGGTATTCAAAAGTTTAACAAATGGGGTGGAGGGGAGCTGAAGACGCTCCTCGTTTATGGCGCCAAGGTTCAAGGCTGGCCTTGACTCCAGTGACAAAGGCCCCGATCCTGTAAACATTTAGGCATGTTTGTAATGTTACTCACTTTGTTAGTCCCATTGATTTTGATGGGAATATTCATGAGTAAAGTTATGCTTGGGTGTATTTACAGGATCTGAGTATAACATTATAAATTTTTTTGAAAAGGAGCCCTAGACTATGTAATATAAAAACAAAAGGGTAGTTGGATAACAGGGTGGACACTTTTGGATAATGAATGTGGGAGAAAAGGAAGGAAAATAAAGGATGTGTCTTTGTATTTATTCTGCAACTGAAAATAACTTTCTTCTTTGAGGATTTAAATAATTTAAGCAGAGATGGAAGTTATTCTGATTTCAGTATCTTGTCATCATCTTCTGCCAAATGTACTAATAGGCATTTTTCACAGATGATTTAGATTACAAGATTTATTGTAGCTCTTACTTAAATTAAAATATATAACCAGTAGCAAATAATTTTTGGAATGTTTCCTTTGCTCTTACTTTCAAATGAATTAATTGGGATGCCAAAATGTCAGTTCTAGAACAAGTTCTAAAAAATAGACTGCTAGTTGACTGTATTTATTATCAGAATAAATGGTCAAACATTCCTTATTTTAGGTACATATAGTGTTTAATTTGACCAGATTGAAGAATTAACTGTCTCTGATGCTCTCCTTGATTTTTTTTTTTTTTTTTTTTAAATGATCATGTTTGGTAAAAAGCATTAAATAATTAGAAATAACTATCCCCAACTTTCAATGGAGAGGGAAAGTGATACAGTGTCTTTTTCCATTTTTTAGGAACAGTTGCAGAAGCTCGAGACAGAATTGAGGGAGGTGACTAAAAACAAAGAAAAGTTGAAGAAAAACCTGCTTGAGTTGACAGAGTATACATACATGTTGCGGATCACACAAACCTTTATCAAAAGACCCGTTGAGGTACTGTGTATACTACATAGGGAAGATTGTATTTTCATGTAAAATTTTGTCTTATAAGTATATTAGTAATTATATAACTTGGCAGTCTTTACAACAACAGGCAGTGTCTTGTCCTTTATTATTATTATTTCTATTGTGTAGCTCCTGTAGATCCCAGTCAGGGATTGCGAACCCATTGTGCTAGGCTTTGTATACACATACACAATGGAAAGGCAGCCCCGCGCTAAAGAATTAACAGGTTAAGAATCTAGTCATTTAAATGCTTTTATTGCAGCCTAGTAGAAATTGGATGAAGGAATGACTTGACTTTTTATATACACGAGTTGCGGTTAAAATACTGTCATAGAATCTTTGCAACAATATTTTTGAATGCTGACAAAAGGCTGTTTACCTGAGATCCTGAAACCTCGCTTGTCTGAAATCCTATATGGGACATTTTTTTCATTGAATTTTTAGTTGGTTTTATGATATCAAATTGACTAAAATATTGAACTTCCTGAGAGTTATCTGTATCTTTTGTTTCTCAGTATGAATCCTGTTTACATGCCAATTTTGAGGAATTCCCGTCTTTAGAAAATGATCCTTTGGTGGACTACACTTGTATGCATCGGCTGGGTGCCAAGCTAGGGTAGGTAACGTTAAAATACGTGAACAGAAATCTTATTGGTCAAGTGTGGCAGATCAAGCCTTGATGCACTATTGTAAAACTACTTTAAATATTGGGCCAGATCCTCAGCTGGTGTAGCTCTATTTACTTCAAGTGAGCAATGCCAATTTATATTAGCTGAAAATCTGTCCCACAGTGTCTTAGACTTACCGGGCCAGATTTTGACATTAACTTAATAGCAGCAGGATTGGCCCCAAAATATTACCAAAAATCTTCATTAAACTGATAAAGCATTTGTATTACGCACAATGTATGCGTATAATAATAGAATGCAATGATCTAGTGTGGTGCCTTTTTTATCCCAAGGTAATTACGTAGCATTTTAATGAACTGGTAATGACGACATGAAAGTTGTAAAGATAATAAAATGTTTAATACTTAACACATACATATTTTCAAAGTGATGTACACAAATCCTCACCACTCCTCTGTGAAGTAGGTAATATCACCTATGAGGTGCAGAACAATTGAGTAATTTGCACCTGGGTACAGAGGGAATTTGTTGAGCTGGTTCACAGATGTGTGCTCAGACCAGTACTCTACATTTTTCTTCCCGATGTAGAATGTACTATTTGCGTATTGGTTTCAGAGAGGTCGCCGTGTTAGTCTGTATCAGTAAAAACAATGAGGAATCCTTGTGGCACCTTAAAGACTAACAAATTTATTTGGGCATAAGCTTGCGTATTATACATTGTAGAGTGGAAATAAAAGAAAATTGGTCAGCATTTGTTTGGTATGACATTTTGTTCTATAAAAATTCTGATGCTAAACTATTATAATTAGTCGTCTTAGAGAAAATATATTGTTAAGTTTTGACTTTTCCTACGGGCTTTGGCTTACTCTTATAACATGTCTGTTTTTATATAGATTTATATCTGGTTTAGTTCACCAAGCAAAAATTGAAGCATTTGAAAAAATGCTATGGAGAGTCTGTAAAGGATATACCATTCTTACTTATGCAGAGCTGGATGAATGTCTGGAAGATCCAGATACAGTGAGTAAACGTCATAGCTACCATTTCATTATGTTTATTCATCATACAATTAGATAAGATGATTCTCAGGGGAAGGGTCATTAGTCGTCCAGCAGTAGATAAAAAGGGAATGTTAATGAGTTTTCAATATCCTTGGGAATTAAAACAAAACAAAACAGATGTTGGTCCTGATCCTGTTATCACTGCAGGAGTAAGAATCAGCAGTTTCTGTAGTTCAGCTTGACATATGTGGAGTCTCATTGTGAAATGGTGATGGTTTTATGGCAGGATATCCTGAGTAAGGTACATGGCATTAATGACTACTTAGGTATTTATTAACCAGTCACGTACAGTGCTTTAAATATTATATAGTTTTTTTATCTGCTATTACAATAATAAAGGAATGTTTGATCATCTGCAAAGATTTTTTTCTCTAAACTTTAAACATTAAAAGATTCTACGTTAAGACTGCCTCACACTGCTGTACTCTGTTTTCTCTATTGAAAATATTGTTATGGATCTAATTTGTAACACTATAGTTCTTAAAGGGTGAGCTTTTCTTGTACTACAGATATTTCTAAGGTGAATAAGAAAAAGAGTAGAAAAAAATTGATTTCTCTTTTATCCCCTCTCAAAAAGTGTGTGTTAATCCAATATAAAGAAGAAAAAAAAGGCACTAACACATTTTCCTTTTCAGGTCTCTTTTAAGAGTATGTGAATTTTATGCTGCTAATGGTGTTTCTCCTGTTATCAAAATTCATTATTTTGCTTCAGAAATTTTGTAAAATTTTGCCTTTTCGACCAATAAGAGTAACTGGCAATCAAATATTGTCAAATTGTGGTGGAATTATATATCATAATTAAAACAAACAACATCCGTTTATTTTTAGGGTGAAATCAGAAAATGGTTCGTGTTTTTAATATCCTTTTGGGGTGAACAGATTGGCCAGAAGGTTAAGAAGATATGTGACTGGTGAGAAATAAAACTAATTTCATTTTTACTGAATATTGAATAATGTTGTTTAGTTTTTGCTTATGGTGACTATTTCATTACTTGGGTATGCTGATTTCATGGGACATTTTTGAAGATTTAATTTTCATTATTTCTGCTTGTTATTTTTCCAATTATAATCTAGTTTTATAATTATGAAATGTACAAAGAAATGTCCAAATCCTTCTATCTAAGATCTCTATTCAAGTATTTAATTTAAGTATGCAACTAAAGAGTAACCTTATCAGCTGGATATATGCTAACATTTCTATTGTTTCCTATTTGGATTTTGACTAAAGGACTTAGGGCCAGTCACCTTCCATTGAGGTCAAATGCCAGTCTTTCCATTGACTTCAGTGGGATTTGAATTAGGCCTTTAATGGGTCAAATTGTATACTGTTTAGTGTTTTCATAAGTCCTGTTTATTTTTTTCTTTGTCAAATGTAAGCAGCAGTCTTTTGATTAATTTTGCAGTTTCCTGTTTTAGTTTTAAAACCATTCACTGGCAGTACTTTGGTTCAGTATCTCTGCCTTTGTTAAGTAGGTCAAATAACAATAGAGGGGGGAACAAATAATACCTGATGCTTTTTCATTTGTAGTTCTCGAAGAATTTTACAAAGGAGGATAAGTACATTAGTTTCCCCATCTGTAAAATGGAAACAGAAGCACGGAGAGGGTTAGTGATTTGACCAAGGTCATACATGGTCTGGGGCAGAGCTCTGAAGAGAACTTAGTTCACCGGACTGGGAGTATGGAGATCTATCTACTAGACTATGATTAAATAAAAAATACAGAGAGCTGTTTTAAAACCATCAGTAAAATAGATTGTGAATTGTCTGAAATTAATAAAAATATTCAGGTGATTTGGATAGTTGAATGGAGTGAATTCTGAGAATTAGGGAGGGAGTAACAACAATGGCATGTCGAAGTTCTGTGCAGGGTGATCCAAAACCACAACAATCCTTAGCCCTTACCTGCAGTGTCCTTCTCTAGTCCTGGCCCTCTTCTGGGCAGTGACTGCCAATCATGCCATATTATGTGGTGATGTGTTGTAGTGCACATGGGGACTGAGACCAAACTTCTTGTGATCCAAGATCTGTGAAAGGGAAAGGTGGTGAGTACAGCAACCCAATTCATCACCTATCTATGGCCTCTCAATATTTTTCACACGTTTTCTTGGTGAGGTAAGACTCACACCTATAAAGGCTGATCTACACCTTACAGATCTTTTTCAAGTGCTTGGATGTTTAATTCAGGCGTCTATATTTTTTTCCTTCAGCTATCATTGTCATGTATACCCCTATCCCAATACCACTGAGGAGCGCAGAGATGTTATTGAAGGACTAAACGTTCGCATTCAGGATCTTCATGTTGTGAGTAAAATGTAACTAGTACTTTTTTCATTGAAGATATTGGAGCATAGATAACCACTTAGCCCATAGTTGCAGTATTAATTATATTGATACATCTATAATTTGATGCTGTGTACTTATTTTTTTCAAGTGCCCAAACTTTTGTTGGTAAAAGGTACTGGAGGTTTTTAGATATGTAGTAGTTGTGTGGTAAAGCAGTCAGAACAAAGGTCTATGAGACAGTAGGATGTGACCAGGAGCAAGTCACTTGAAAAGCATGACCTGGTTCAAAACTAGATATTGTACCTGAGTTGAGTTGACCTGCGTAAACACCTTATCAAAAAAGGACAATGATGGTAACAGGGTTATAGAAGGAGAAACATGGGCTAGTTGTCAGAGCACAGGATTGTGAGCCAGGGATTCCTAAATTCCTATCTATGATCTTGCACTGACAGTGTCCTTTGGCAGGAAACTTAACCACTTCATCTAATTCCCTTTCTGTAAAATGGAGATGTTAATACTTATGTACTATCACAGGATGTTAGAGATTAAATTAGTTAATGTTGTACTGTGCTTCGATGGTTAATAAATATTTGATAAATTACATATATCCAAAGTGCTTTGCCAAACTTTAAATACTATTTAAATACTAGACTCTTACTAAAAATATGACAAATATACTTCAAGAATTAAGCCTACATTTTCAAAAACCTTCCTTTATCTTTTAATTCTTTTGTAATGAGTTGTTTTTATGAATTAATTACATTGTGACATATTTATTTTGATGTGTTAAATAAAGGGAGTAAAGGAAAAAGGTCAGTGATGAAGCCTTTCTCCAGGCTCTCTTCTCTCTTTTTTTTGCAAAATAGCTAGCTTTCCATAGTACTGTAAAAGACTGAGTTGATGTTGTCATGCTTGAAAAAGAAAAAACACACTTTTCCAAGGCCTTGCATGAGCTTCTGTAAATTGGGCTTCACTTTCAGAATGTTCAGCACAAGGAGGATGAGGAAATAAAACTTAGACTCCACTAATGTATTCTGCTTTATCCAATCTTACCGTTATGCCAGTGTGGTGCTCTGCTAACTTCACTGAAGTTTCACCTGGGTACCAGTGTCCCACCCATGCACATCTACCTGCAGAGGAAGAACCTTAATCTTGCCAGTTCTGTTTATTGTAGTTCAAGGGCAGCCATAATAATATTAACTACCACTTTCAGCAGCAATTCCGTTGTGACTTGCAACTGGCCACCTCTTCTACATAAGTGTGACTTGTGCAGATGACAAGTTCCACCATACAATGCTGCATCTTGATCCAAGTGATGGATTGCTTGTATCAAGAATGGCACATTATTTGGTAAGAACTATAGTCTCTGCGGTCTGCATCTCTGTATTAAAATCAAGGCAGCTGCAATTCTTTCCACTTTATGTAGGTTAGGTCTGTCCTTGGGGCTCCTAGCAAGTTAACAATATGATCCATAGTTGGGCAAAGTTTCAGTGCTCCTCCTGTAGTAAAACTTTCATCTACATTTTCAATTACCACTAATTTTTCCTTTGACAAAGGTGCTGCATAAAACTGAGGATTACTTACGACAAGTATTATGTAAAGCATCAGAATCCATTTATACCTGGGTTATCCAAGTGAAGAAGATGAAAGCCATTCATCATGTACTAAACCAGTGCAGTTTTGATGTCACAAATAAATGTTTAATTGCTGAGGTTTGGTGCCCAGTAGCTGATCTGCCAAACTTGCGTCGAGCACTCGAGGAAGGATCAGTAAGTCATTTTATGTGGTTGTGTGCACACAAATTCAAAACTTTGACTGTTTTGAGCCAACAATAAAGATAAGGAAAGAAATAAAACAATGTTACTTGAGAGGGAAAAGAGCTGGACATAGGTAACTCCCTACAGAGGTTAAAGGGCCCTTGTGGGCTCTTTCCAACACTGTAATTGGGTAGAAACCCTGTTGGTATCAGTGGGAGTTTTTTTGAGAGCATGGACTGCAGGATTGGGCTCAAGGAATGAGTTGGCTCACAAGGCCATGTGAAATCACCCTAGAAGGCACTAATTTGGCTAGTATAAAATGATAAAATTGGCTTTGTCAGAATAAGCTTGGCGTTACAGTAAATTAGACTATTTGTAAGAGCAAATCTTGACTTTGTTTCATAAGTATCTATTACTTATCTAATTTCATATTCTGTAACTATTTGTTTTCTTTCTGTAAAAAGATTTAAGTATAAAATGGTCATTGTGGATATTTCTAGTAGAAAGAGAGGCAAATGTTAGACTTAGTGCACTTGAGAAGATTGTTGCAGATTTGAAAGTTACTCAAACTGCAGTGTACCTCAGATATAAGAAAGTAAGTTTCTGTTATGAAGAGAAGTACCTTACAATTTCTGTTTCAGTGGACATTGTCAAAATCAAAATAATATCTCTTCTGGGTTAGCAAAGTACATGTCCAGTATGATTTAATATAATTTATTTTTTGTCCCATTTCATTCTATAACTAGAGAAAGAGTGGAGCTGCAATCTCTTCATTCATGAACACCATACCAACAACAGACACGCCTCCAACTTTAATACGTACCAATAAATTCACTTCAGGGTTCCAAAACATTGTTGATGCTTATGGAGTTGGGAACTACAGAGAAGTTAATCCAGGTTTGTCCACTGACAGTTGATGAAATCTTGCGCTGCATTAATTATTTATTCATTTCTCCTAGCAGTAAAAGGGCATGTGCTTAAGTATCTTGCTGAATCAAGCCCTTAGTAAAGGGGAAAATGGTGACTTCTACATTCCATTGTTAATGGCCAATTTTAATTTTCAGTATTTTATCAAGAATGCAAATAGTGCTCTGAGGAACAAGGAAGGATCTGATTTCCAATGTATTCTCTCAGCACCGCGAAAGATGGCAATAGCTAATTATGGTATCTCCACCCATTGTCTTGGTAATTTGTTTGCTTTTGTGAGAGAAGAATTGGGAAGAAAAGATAATCATGAAAATGGGAAACCTTAGTTATGGTATTGATCTTACACCAATATGGAGCCGGTCATCCAGAAGGATCCCAAAGTACTTTAATAACTATACAGAGTCTCTGATGCATTGCTGCAGCCATCTCTGGCATGACAATGAGGATAAGATTCTATTAGCTTTACGGATAAAAATAAATCTTTATTTTTTATTCATGTTAGCAGTGTAGAGTCAATACAACAATGGGGGAAAGAGCTGGATTCTCTTCTTGCTCATGCATTATAATCAGAATTGTTAACTAATTTCCAATTGCAGAATCCTCATTAGTGTGGTCCTGCATGAGCCAGAACCAACCCAGTTTAAGTGTGTAGGGCTGGGAGCTTGAGCATCTTTGGATATGTAAACTCAACAAACTTGATATGGAGTGACTGTGAGATGATAAAAGTAGAACTCCATCATACCATTTTTAGGATTACATTAGAGAATGTAACTGCTTCTTTATATTAATTTAGTATAACTGTATTAGGCAAAATTCAGATAATTGTAATATCACAATAAATATGGTTGCAATTAACCCGAGTCTGTTGTGCTGTTTTTTTTTCCCCAGCCCTCTACACCATCATCACCTTCCCCTTCTTATTTGCTGTTATGTTTGGAGACTTTGGACATGGTCTTCTAATGTTTATCTTTGCCCTCTTGATGGTACTCTATGAAAACCACCCTCGACTAATGCGATCACAAGATGAGGTAAGCTTCCCCCCTCCCCCTATCCCAAACAAAACAGTATTTAGATAATTTTAATAGGACAGTTATTGTTTTTCTGAAAACTTTGTTCTTTGTGCACATATAAGATACTAATTTTGGTTGATAAGGCTACTATTCACTCTGGTCCAGATGGATAAGGAAACTTGGTCAGAAACTAGCTATAAGAGAACAGTTTACCTCCTTTTAAAAATTTGTAGTGGTACTGATGGCAGTAGTGATCATTAGTCTCGGGATTTCCTAGTTTGCATGTTGTGATAATCCCCTTCTAGAGGCATATGATATCTTTTCAAAATATAATTATTTAAATGGTAATATAAATAAATAATAAACACATTTTAATTGACAGGGTAGGAATAAATGGCCAGTTTTCAGAATGGAGAGGTAAATAGTGGTGTCTCCCAGGGATCTGTACTGGGACCAGTGCTGTTCAACATATTCATAAATGATCTGGAAAAAGGGGTAAACTGGTGGCAAAATGTACAGACAGTACAAAATTAATCAAGATAGTCAAATCTAAAGCAGACTGCGAAGAGATACAAAGGGATCTCTCAAAACTGTGTGACTGGGCAACAAAATGGCAGATGAAATTCAGTGTTGATAAAGGCAAAGTAATGCACACTGGAAAACATAATTTCAAGTATATGTACAAAACGATGGGGACTAAATTAGCGGTTACTACTCAAAAATGAGATCTTGGAGTCACTGTGGATAGTTCTCTGAAAACATCCGCTGAATGTGCAGCGGCAGTCAAAAAAGCTAACAACGTTAGGAGCCATTAGGAGAGGAATAGATGAGACAGAAAATATAAGGCCTCTATATAAATCCATGGTAGGCCCACATCTTGAACACGGTGTCCAGATCTGGTTTCCTCCATTTCAAAAAAGATATATTAGAATTGGAAAAGGTACAGAGAAGGGCAACAAAAAAGATTAGGGGTATGGAACAGCTTCTGTATGAGGCGAGATTAAAGACTGTGACTTTTCAGCTTGGAAAAGAGACAACTAAGAGGAGATATGATAGAGGTCTATAAAATCTTGACTGATGTGAAGAAAGTGAATAAGGCAATATTATGGACTCCTTCACATAACACAAGAACTAGGGGATACCTAATGAAACCAGTAGCAGGCAGGTTTAAAACAAACAAAAGGAAGTACTACTTCACACAACGCACGGCCAACCTGTGGAATTTGTTGCCAGGCTATGTGAAGGCCAAAACTATGACAGAGTTCAAAAAAGGACTAGATAAGTTCATGGAGGATAGTTCCATCAATGGCTATTAGCCAGGATGGTCAGGCATGCAACACCATCCTCTGTCTCTAGCCTCTGTTTGCCAGAAGCTGGGAGTGGATGACGGGATGGATCACTCGATGATAGCCTGTTCTGTTTGTTCCCTCTGAAGCACCTGGCATTGGCCACTGTCGGAAGAGAGGATACTGGGCTCAATGGACCATTGGTCTCACCCGGTATGGCCGTTCTTATGACAAGAGCTGAGCCAATCAAATTGTGAATTAAAGACTGCTGCTACATCCCCAACTCACTCAGTCATAGTAGAATGTTGTGAAATTTTAAATATCATATTATGGGTCAAATTCTGCTCTGCTATACTTGTGCAAAAGTTCATTGTCTTTAGTGGAATTGCAGTCACTGTTGCGTTGATTTTTGCTCAATGTGTGCTGGAGCACCTAGTCACAATGGGCTGACTTGAGGGCAGAATGAAAACTTTAAATGCTAATTTCTTCCATTGTTTTTGTAAATTTTCATTACTCATAAATGAAACTTGCTGCAGGATGGTTTTAAAGAGATCGTCAACTTGAAATCTAATTAATTTAAAAAAAAGATTGTCCTCAAAAATATGAAACCAATTTGCATGTATAGTGTTGACTCACTTTTTTTGTGTATGGAGAGTGCATGCCTTGTCAGAGACAGACTTAGTCCAGGGTAAGGCATGGACTTGATATGGCCTGCAAGACCCTTTAAGGTGATATTAAATGAATGACAGCTACAAAAAATGAACACATTAGCATTCTGAAAAATGGTCATAGCAATAAACTAAGCTCTTAGTAGAGTATTTGGTGGTATAATGACTCCAGGATAGAGAGAAGGTCTAGGTTTGTATTCTGTGAGTCTATGTAGAATCTATGTATGAGTCTATATAGGTTCCTCAAATATACAGATTTATTTTAAAGCAAAAATGTGACTTTCAGACTACATTTGTTGTAAAAATCTTAGGTAGTGATAGTGACAGAACTCTTGCAAATCTATCACACGATATTAAAGGTATGAAAGGTGAGATACAAATTGGGTGTCTTTAAAGAGAGGCACTAATTTATTAAACGATGTCTTCAATCCAGATTGTCTGATATTTTTCCCCTGGTTTTGTCTTAGTTTTCTTTATATCCTGTAATAATTGTTCATATGGATTTTTAACTTATAATAACTTTAATGTGGTCATGTGCTCCTCTTGGAAATGTGCAGATAATGAAAGTTCACATAGCTCTTGCTAACAGTGCTGTACTTCAATATTTACAGATCATGAAAACATTCTTTGAAGGGAGATACATAATTTTGTTGATGGGTCTGTTTTCTGTATACACTGGCTTGATCTATAATGACTGTTTTTCAAAGTCATTAAATATATTTGGTTCTGGATGGAATATTTCTGCAATGTTTGAACAAAATATCTGGCGGTGAGTGGTATGCTTTGTTTACTATACCATTAAAACAAATATACAATGTTTAGAAAAGACTCTAATTCCCTTCTGTTTTGCCTTCTTAAATAGACTGGTTTAATTCCTTCATAGAATGTTATCATTAAGAGGTTCCAAATCCTTCCCAAAGGAGTAAAATGCCCTTATTTTGAACAATAGTACTTGAGAAATTATTTGGGGGCAGAGACACATTATTTTGTCTGTAAAGCACAATGTGCAATTATGTCAAGTATCAGAGGGGTAGCCATGTTAGACTGGATCTGTAAAAAGCGACAGAGTCCTGTGGCACTTTATAGTCTATAAGGTGCCACAGGACTCTTTCGCTTTATGCAATTCTGGTGCAGTATAAACAATAATTCTAGTCCAGGGGTCGGCAACCTTTCAGAAGTGGTGTGCCGAGTCTTCATTTATTCACTCTAATTTAAGGTTTCGTGTGCCAGTAATACATTTTAACGTTTTTAGAAGGTCTCTTTCTGTAAGTCTATAATATATAACTAAACTATTGTTGTATGTAAAGTAAATAAGGTTCTTAAAATGTTTAAGAAGCTTCATTTAAAATTAAATTAAAATGCAGAGCCCCCCGGACCGGTGGCCAGGACCCGGGCAGTGTGAGTGCCACTGAAAATCAGCTCGGGTGCCGCCTTCGGCACGCGTGCCATAGGTTGCCTACCCCTGTTCTAGTCATTTGGGATCATTTCAGTATTTTATACTGCATTCAAGTTGATGACCCTCCTGGAAAATGTTTCTTGACCAATCCCACCTCTTTCTTTGTTTGCAAAATTTATGTAACTGCTGGGAGACTGGTCTCTTTCCCTTCAGAAGAAATACATCAATGCTTATTGTCTTAAAAATACATGCATGTGTACCAATGATAGTAGCCCAACATTTATGAGTTATCCCAGAGTAACAAAACAGCACTAAGAACCAAAGAGTAATTTAGTGGGGAGCTGATTACACTCTTTTTGGGTCAGATGATCTACTAGGATTTTTAGTGGTTCTGGCTCGGTTGTTTATTGAAAGAAATATGACTCGGTATACTTTTTATAAAATTTTATTAAAAGCAATAAGCAAACAAAATTAAAACCAACAAAAATGTAACTAAGGTTACACTATTACACACACTACTAAACTAAGGTTAAACAATACAATAATCAAGTTAAGATCAAATTGGGTCAAAGAAAAAAAATGACAATAACCGTGGATTAAAACTAATCCATCAGCTAGTAAAATCAATTCATATAGACCCTAAAATAAGAAATTGTTTTCTGAGACCTGCTCTACACTGCTGGGGGGGAGGGGAGGGGAAATTGATCTAAGTTACGCAACCTCAGCTACGTGAATAATGTAGCTGAAGTCGACGTATTTACATCTACTTACCACGGTGTCTTCGCTGCGGTAAGTCGATGGCTGACGCTCTACCGTCGACTCCATCTGCGCCTCTTGCCCTGGTGTGGGGTAACAGAGTCAACGGGAGAGCGCTCGGCGATTGATTTATCACATCTAAACTAGACACGATAAATCGACCCCCTCTGGATCAATCACTGCCCGACAATCCAGCGGTTAATGTAGACAAGCCCTTATAAACCCCAATTAAGATTTTGCCCATGGCGGTGCAGTCAGTTTAGCAAGTTGAATATTTTGATTATCAAAGCCAAATTACTGTTACTTTTAAGCTATGTCCTCAGAGTAAATTGGAATTTCCTCTTTAGATTTCAACAGTGGTTGCTCTGTTTCCTTTCTGAACACAAACTTTAACATCGCTCTTCTAATATGCAATAGTTAGCAACTTTTCATAAGCAAGAATTATAGATGGTAGTTTGTAAATGCTGTTACCAAAATTAAGAACACACACAGGCTCTGATTTTTTTACAAAGCAGAATTTCTAGGGTAACTTCAGTCTGTGGGTTATTCTTTGGCACCTCTCCATGTGGTTAATATTTATAAAATGCTAATAAATATTCAGAAAGTACTAATATTCATAAATGCACTCAGCACACATTCACACGCTTAAAATAGAAAAAAAACCCAGGGATGTCTCCTTGTCAAAAATAAAAAAGGAAAAAGGGGAAAGTGAAATGCTTGAGATAAAATAGAGTTTGAACTCTTCAGATCTTGTAGGCTTCAAACTCACGTGGTATTAGAACTGTCACTGCAGTTAAGATGCCAGGTAATAACAGAGTTGTCAAGTACCTTATGCTAGCGGGGTCTTTCAGTGCTAGGAGACTGGTTAAGCTAATATGGCCACAGTCATTGTGGTCTTCTCCTCTTCGGATGGCTATGGGATTGGAAATTAAATCTGGAATCTTTCCTATCTAGATCACCAATATGAGTCCACTCAGGTTGAGAGTGATCATAAGTTGTTGCTATGTGATATCTGTTTGGAGGGTTATGTGAAATAAATTGGTAGCTTCAGCCAAATTTCTTGGGCACATTTAGCCATATTAAAAAAACACCACCACAACCAGCTTCTTTGTTGACAGTTTCAACAGAGGCCAAGAACTGAATGGTTATTGAACTACATGTCTCACCTATAGTGGTGTCCTTTCTGGTCAGAGCTGACCTACATTGGATGAGGGAGATTATGCTGACACTGCACATACTGCATCTGTTCTGTGGATAAATAGAAAAGCATTTTCAGGGGTTGCCATTCTGGTAACTATAATCAGTACTTAATTTACCTGGGAACGGTTTAATATGTTGACTGTTTATCTTACTATTATTGTGCTGAGAAATCCCTTTATGCGTCCCTCAACCTTCAGATCAGCCATTTATTTTCTCTCTCTGCTAAACAAGAAAGTAGGAAGGACATTCTGCAGAGGTGAAAGCAATACATGCTTACTATTTTTAAGCAACAGGATCTGATTGTGTGTTTCTTTTGCCACAGTCTTGATGATTTGAAGTCTAATCAATATTTGACATTGGATCCAAATGTTACTGGAGTGTTCAATGGAGTTTATCCCTTTGGCATAGATCCGGTTGGTGCTTTTTCTTTAAATTTACCCATTTGTGATGATCAGTGCTTTACAGCTCATAAGTTAAAAGTGTGACACCTGCTTAGTATACAGGCAAAACATAAGGGTACATATTATGAGTAAATGCAGATTTCCATTTCCCCTTTCTCCCGTGAGGATGATATCCTCTTCTACTGATTCAGAGAGAGAGGTAACTAGTTTCTTCAAACTCATTTTTGCTTGGGATCTTACCCCTGGATTCTAATTCCAGCTATGTCTACACTGCAGTTAAATACCCTTGGATGGTCTGTGTCAGCTGACTCAGGCTTGGGCTTGCTGGGCTGTTGAATTGAGGTATAGACAAGCCCAAACGTCTACACCACAATTAAATAACCCTTTAGCCTGAGTCAGCTGCAGGTTTTTAATTGTAGTGTAGACATATCACAGGTTTCCTGAGGAGAGATTGTGTTACACCCCGAACTAGTCATTTTAGGAAAGTCTATTTCATCTTATTGATTTCTCTTTTATTTTTTATTTTCCCTTCAGATCTGGAACCTGGCAAGCAACCGTCTCAGTTTTTTAAATTCTTTCAAAATGAAAATGTCTGTGATTTTTGGAGTGACTCACATGACTTTTGGAGTTATTCTGGGGGTCTTTAACCACTTGTAAGTATGGGAAGTTAAAGTTAAATGAATGTGGCAATAAACACATGCAAGCAAATAAATGTGACATTTTCTGATCAGTATTTATTATCTGAGATTGGAAGGAACTGGAATGTTTTTGAGAACTGAGCAAAGCCAATGTGAATTCACTATGAAAATTGCTTTACAAAAACAAGTCAGTTTTTGCTTGAGATCCTGATTTCCTTGGAAAAATATAGGAAGGCCAGTATTATACAGAAAAATCTGCAGCCTCTGAGAAGTGAGATTTTTGTGTTGTGCTTCTAGAGAAGGAGGATGGGGGTTTGGAGCTGCCACTTTTGGGCCCCTCCTAACCTTTTCTGTGTAACATTGTTAATGCCTTGGTTTTATTTGAAACATTAATGTTCTTTTTGTTACTCGGGCCCCAATCCTACAAATATGCATATGCTGAACTAAAGGCATGAGTAGTCTCATTGAAATCAATGGGATGATTCAGTTCTTTAAAGTTAAGTATTTGCGTAAGTGTATGCAGGATTCAGGCCTCTGTTTGCAATAATTTTTGTTTTCTTTTAATTGAAAAGACTTTCGCTTCCTCTATTAAGGCCCTGAGACCATTGACATCCATGGTAAAATTTCTTTTGAGTTCAAAGAATCAGGATTTGGCTCATAATTTCTAATACAGTTTCTATTTCTGAACACTCTCAACTTCCATTGATGTCACAGGGGTTGAGGGCTCTCAGCACCTTATAGAATCGGACACTATGTGATCTTTCTATGTAAAAGTTGTTCATCATTAATTCTTTTTCTTTTTTATTTTTTTAGATATTTCAGGAAGAGGCACAATATTTATTTGGTTTTCCTTCCTGAACTTTTATTCATGCTGTGCATCTTTGGGTATCTTGTATTTATGATCATCTTTAAATGGCTAGCTTATTCTGCAGAAAACTCCAGATCTGCTCCCAGCATTCTGATTCAATTTATTAACATGTTTCTATTTCCCACTAGTGGAATGGACACCTTTTATACAGGACAGGTTAGTACTACTCTTTATAAACTGAAAAGAGGTTGATAGAATTCAGAAGATCATATGTTCTTTAATAGTGTGATTGAACAAAAAGTATTATCTGAATGTTAAGTTAAGCTAATGTCTGCCTCTAGTGTGGGGACAGTAAAGAGGTTGTATCAGGATTATTTTAAAAGGTAGATAAATAAAAAGCACATCCCTTATGACTGACTGACAGCATTTTGCTCTTAAACTTCATCTAAGCTTGTCTGTAGATTTAAAAAAACCCAACACACTTGCTGTTTCTAGAACAAAATCCTGTACTCCTTGCTCAGGCTAGCTTTGATTCTCTTTAATAAAAGGGATGCAGAACAGAGCACGGACTATCTCTTCTCTTTTAGTTTTTAATGCTATTTTGTGTACCAAAAGAATCTTTTTAAGCTTGGAAATTGGCAAGCTTGCCTGCCTTTTGGGGCCAATCCAGAAGATGAGCGCCCACAACTGCTATTTAAGGCCCTGAATCAGCAAAACAACTAAGTGCATGCTTAACTTTAAGCATGTCTTTAAGATCCACTGAAATCAAGTGTGACGTATCAAATGCTCAATCAGGGCCTTAAAGGAAATCAGTTGCTTCTTCCTCATTAATAAAAAATCGATTTAAGTACTTAGAGGGAGGTTGTCTGAACTCATCTTTAAACACCTTTTCTTTTTTCCCTCCCACCAACAGGTTATTTTACAGAGATTTTTATTTATTGTTGCTTTGCTTTCTGTTCCTGTAATGCTTTTTGGAAAACCACTTTATTTGTATTGGTTGCACAATGGAGGCCGAGGCATTGGAATGTACAGAGTACGTATTGAAAGAACTGTATACCTGTAGCATGCATTTTCTAAATTGACAAGCATTGTATTAAAGGGTATTTTATTATAAATCCTTTTGGCTAAAATTAATCTTTTTTAAAAAAAAGCATTATTGTCTATACTGGGGAAGCGCTAAAAAGGCATTATCCAGTAACTGTTTCACTTTACTCATTGCTTGTAATAGCCTTTAGAAACCTGAACATAGAATTTCTTTTCGTTATGATTTTGGCCACCTTTCTCTTTCTAACAAATAGATTTCCTAAATGTTTAAAAAACAGCAAAGTTAATTTAATCGGACTACAACAATTTCAACTTGCATAGCACTTTGTCATTCCAAACTATAGGCTTAATGCTACAAACACTCGCATGCATGATTTGTGAGTATTTCCAGAATTGGGCCTTTTCAGTGTTTGTGAGCTAGCTGCACTGCAGATATTAGTGCAGCTCTGGGAACCGCACTTAGCTGCTGCTGCAAAATCTGTAGAGGAAACACTTTGTTGCTATATTTGTTGGCTGTTTCTGTAACACTTCGTTGGTCATAGATGTGTGACTAAAACTTTTACTAATTGTGTACAATAAAGTTTTAAAACCACAGCGGGAAACTCACTAATTAGATATTTTCACAGATTACATTTGTCAAAATTCTTTTAACTACATTAGATGTAAGATACATTTAAATTTGTTAATATGGGTAAAGAAATAATTCTCTTAGATTAAGAAAGTATCTAGAAGCATTGATCTCTAAAATGTCCTATAGCTTGATATGACCATGCAAATTAGAAAAATTGATGTCTATTTTTGCATAATAGGGCCTTTCCACTTCAGCTTCTATGGTCCCGAGGGTATGTCTCCACTGCAAACAGACACTCATGGCTGGCCCATGACAGCTGACTCAGGCTCGCAGATCTTGGGCTGCGGAGCTGTTTAATTGCCGTATAGACTTCTGAGCTCGGCCTGGACTCTGGGACCCTCCCACCTCACAGAGTCCCACCTTGCAGGGTCCCAGAGGCTGGGCTCCAGGCCAAGTTCAGAAGTCTATACTGTAATTAAACTGCTCCACAGCCCAAGCCTCAGAGCCTGAGTCAGCTGGCACGGGCCAGCTGCGGGTTTTTAAATGCAGTGTACACATACCCTGAGAGTCTTAATTTTTTTGCAATGTCTGCTTTAAATAAATACAAAAAAAACTGCAACTATCACAGTGACATCAAAAATTCTTGTTAGTGAACTGACACTGATACTGTTTCCATTTTGTGCAGAGTGGCTACAGACTTGTTCGAAAAGAAAGTGAAGAAGAACTTTCTCTATTGCAATCACATGATGTGGAGGAAGGAAGCAGCCCTTCAGACAGTGGGCACAGAGAAGGGGATGGAGAAGAGGTAACACTTTCAACTACCGCCTGTGATAAGAATGGCCTAAAAGCAAGTTAGCAGTGGAAAATTGTATGGGGTGATACTTGGCAAATTGCCATACACTAAACCAGGTTGAGTTCCTGGAACCTCTAAAAATGCCATCTAGGGGACTTTTATAAAGATGGCCCGATTGGTTGGCTGCATATAATTTACATTCTGTTATTTGTGATTGTTCTGCACTGCATTTCTTATCACAAAAATGTATCAGTTCAGCTTACTAGAGTTCCTGGGTTTTGATATAAGGGGAAATAGACAAAGTGCCTCATGCAGCTGAGACTATATTCATTCCTTTTAAAGTACAATTAATCAAGCAATATCAAAGCTTTCTTGCATAGTTTTATGGGTACTTGATTTTGGGTGCCTTTAGTCAAGACAAAGAGGAGAATATACTCTAACTTTCTCCTTTTCTTTTCATCTTGGGTTCTTCTCTAGAGAAAAGGCTCTTGATTTTAATTTTTTGAACAGTATGCTATATAGTTTGACAGTGGGAAGGCACGGTGCTCTTGTCATTAGTGAGAACTGGAAATCTGGAGTCATGAGCTGTACTCCAAGTTCCTGACACTGATACAATATAATCTTGGGCAAATCACTTAAGGCGTTGTTATCTGCGTGCTTTTGACTTTAATAGGAGTTGATTAACACTCCTAAACACTCTGTCCCTCAATTTACTCATCTGCAAAATTAGTATAATACTTCTCACTGGGAGATTTGAGACTTAACCTCTATAGGGCTAATATATTTAGGAAATAGGAGAGCTCTACTGAAAGACATTGCACAAATTGTACCACAGTTTCATAAGAAATATCAGGATTTACAGTAAAAATTACTGATCTTGAGTTTGTTTGTTAGTACTAGCCAACATAACTCAAGATTACTATATTAATAATTATCCTTTCTCATTTATAGCTCTCTTCATCTGAGGATCTGAGTGCTTTACAACAGTTGATAGTAATAATTATCCCCCTTTTAAAGACAGGAAAAGCTGAGGCAGAGAGAGTTTGTGATTTGTCCAAACTTAACACAGTAAATGAACAGCCTAGCTGGGATTAGAACTCAGGTCTCCATTAGACCACATTATAGTATGACAGAACTATATGTTCATATAAGATGCATTCAGAGTAATTGACATGCCTACTTGCATTTTCAGAATATTCTTTGGTCATATAAGTAGAGAACCTGCTAGAAAACTACACCTTAATATATTTTTTTTATCATCAGTGCAATCAGCATGTAAGCTTTTAGAGTTTATACACTGGTTTAATTATATAAAAATTTATTTGACCTTTAAATAGATTTTTTTTTTTAAATGATCTAAAACCTGTAGTGGATTTGCAAATGCATGTTGTATGTTGTCACACTCAATAGTATGGATTTAATGTATACAAGTGTATTGACATACATATGTGTTGTTAGTTTAACTTTGCAGATGTTTTTATGAATCAGACTATTCATACCATTGAATACTGTCTAGGATGCATCTCCAACACTGCTTCATACCTGAGACTCTGGGCACTAAGTCTTGCTCATGCACGTAAGTCTTTGTATTCCAATGTAACTTTAATATTGTATGCAGGGTTTGTTGTTTGTTTGATCATTTTAGAATATTCTAGCTATGAAATTATCTGGTTGGTCATTTAAAAAAAAAATCCCTAGTGAACTGACCTGGACTAATAGAAAGCACATTTTACTGAAAAGTGGAATTGTGACTTGGAGTGCTGCATCTGGTATATGGCTTCATTGTTCATTCCTGATTATGTGAAGGGCTGTCAGCGAGTAACTCTTAAAATGGTTCTGTAGATGGTGATATTATGTCATGTGATATTTAAAGTCTTCCCCTTTAGTGGCCAGGATTCAAGAAAGCACTTAAATATTGTCCCGAATACAGATGGACTTAAGTACATGCTTAAATATGGGCTTAAAGTTAAGTATGTGCTTAAGAGCTATCCTGAATAGGGATGCTTTCCTGAATCAGGACTAGTATATTTCTGAATTTGTGTCATTCTAAATTAGAACCTGGGCATTTATGTTCCAAACACACTGCCCATTTCCCTTTAATTATTCATTGAGAGACCATGAGAGAGTTATCATAAAAACCACCCAACCTTTTCATATTTTATATTCTTGTTCTGATTTCAGGAATGTGTCTCACAGCCAAATTATATAGGTATTTTATGCTACACTGAATTAATACAGATGAAGTAGTGATGTGTTGTATGCATGTGAGCTTATTAAAATCTTATTGAGTGTGATATTGTTTCTAAACATTTTAAAAAAAACAAAACCCTTGTCTGAAAACGTGTGCTGGCTTTGCAGTGTGAAATTAAAGCTGCTAGAAAACAAACTATGTGATCAACATGTATCTCAGTACTTAAATCTTAATGTAGTGAACACTGGTCTGTGTCTTGGGTTCACTTGCAATAGTAACTATTAAGTATTGGTTAGTGGATTTGTGGTTTTAATAAATTAGATGTCGTAAGTAGTAGATTTTATTCTGAGACTGTTTATAATTATAAACAAGCTATTTCCTGAGAGAACAAAACAGCGTCTGCAGCTCCAGATAATTCTGCCCTGATTACATATGATTATACAGTAAACAGACTACTCATTCAGTGTTCTGGTGAATGCAAATTACCACCCGTTACAAAAATATTAATTATTGTGCAACGTTTAGTTCCTTGAGCGTCTTGTGATATACACTGGATTCCTTCAAAGAGGCACATTTTTTGCTCCATTTTCTGATCCAGGAGATTCTAGCACAGTAACATAATTGAAACTGTAAAAAGCAACAGAGGGTCCTGTGGCACCTTTAAGACTAACAGAAGTATTGGGAGCATAAGCTTTCGTGGGTAAGAACCTCACTTCTTGCATCTGAA